CAGACTTCCAATTTGCTTTTTCCCGGGCCGGGAAAAAGCAAAATGGTTCAGACTTCCAATTCTCTTTTTCCCGGGCCGGGAAAAAGCAAAATGGTCCAGACTTCCAATTTGCTTTTTCCCGGGCCGGGAAAAAGCAAAATGTATCAGGCTTGCAGTTTGGAATCCGGTCTGGAAACAAGCAGCGCTTGTGAGAGTCGAGCCCGCAACCTTCTGCTTATTAGCCCGGCGCCTCATCCATTAGGCCACAGCTCCTTTATTTTTCTTTGTCACCCTGATATAAACTGATTTTTACCAATTTGACTCAGACTTTGAATTTGCTTTCTCCCGGCCTACACTTTCAGTTTGCCTTATTCCGGGCTGGGAAAAAGCAAAATGATCAAGACTTCCGGCTTTGGTTGCGCCCAACCCTCCATGAACAAAGAGACGGCTCAGCCAGGCCAGTTTGCTCAGACTTCCAATTTGCTTTTTCCCGGGCCGGGAAAAAGCAAAATGGTCTAGAGTCTAGACTTTCAATTTGCTTTTGCCCGGGCTGGGAAAAAGCAAAATGGTCAAGACTTCCAACCAAGCCATTTTCATGCTGGTGTGTTTTTGGTTGGGCGCAGCCCTCCATGAACAAGAGACGGCTCAGTCAGGCCAGTTTGCTCAGTCAGACTTCCAATTTGCTTTTTCCCGGCCCGGGAAAAAGCAAAATGATCTAGACTTTCAGTTTGCTTTTTCTCGGGCTGGGAAAAAGCAAAATGGTCAAGAAATTTGCTTTTTCCCAACCCGGGAAAAAGCAATCGGAAGTCTGAAGAGCAATTGTTCTTGCAGCGTGGCCAGGTCACCAACATGACTTGCGCAGACCTTTCGCAGGACCTTCGCGAACCTTTCGCGACTGCAGTGAGAGCACACTCGAAATCAGCCTTTGAAATTCGATCACTAACAAGGAAGAGGTGGGTTTTTGAACGACGCTCATATGTAGACACTGGAGACCGGTCCTCTCTCAGCTCTTCTTGCTCGCGGTTCCAAATTTAACTCTTTCGTGACGCTTTTTGTTAAGCTCTGCTTCGTTATAAGCTTGGAAGAAGCTTTCCTAAGCTTGTCTTGCCTGTCTCAACAAAGATTTCACTGCTCGGAGGCCCCAATCATAGTGCATCTGCTTGCTCAGCAGCTCCTTTTTCGGGAAGCGACAAAATATGATGGCTAAAGATTTTAGCTCGCTAAAAACCTTGGAAACTATCCAGATCCCAACCAAACTTTGGACAAACAGTGCCAAAAGCTCCTTGGAGAGAGAGTAAAGAGTCACCTGGAAACGTCAAGAAACCAGCAGAACTTGCTGCCCAAACTGCAATTACGCCCTCCCTAATTCACGAGGCTCTGTTGCCCTGAGCACAGCGCGAACTTGTGTGCCAAAAGTCGAGCATTCGTGAAACCCTCCGACATCAGCATGTTTTCACCTCAACATCAAACTGCAATAAAACTAACATAGTAGACGTAGTAACAACACTTCAGCATGTTTGTGAACCCGCATAAAAATGTTGATGATATGTCATGTTGAATGTTGATGGTGCTGATGGCTCCCAAACTCGCGTGAGGCTGAGGCAAATAAATTTCAAGTTGGGGACAATCATGGCCACAGACCGGAAAAGCGCCTGACGAGACAAAAGAAAGCGCAGCGAAAACAAACAACAGTTGAAACAAAACACACACGACCAAAATATCGAGAATTTGTGGAGTTATAAATTTACACTGAGTATAACAAATTTGGAACACAGCTAATCGATTCTGATAGAGCAAGTAAACATAGTTGCAATATAAATATATATATATATAAGTTCAACGAACTTAGTTGATTTCTGAAAATACACAGCCTTCAGGTTCTCAGGCAGCTCTGTGCGTCCAGCATAACCTGGATTCCTGAGGAAATCATCTGAAATGTTTCTTGAGCGGTGCCACGAGTGTTTTGGCCGATTTGTGAACCCAAATATTACAGTATTTGATTTGATGCAGCTCAATTTGTTCGTATTTTAATCTACTTCCGTCGTTGTGCATTTGTTGTCATTGTTCAGAACAAACTCACACAGCATTCAAAATGACTCTCAAATGTTGATCTTTTCCGCAACACCAAGAAGACCAAAAGCACCCAGCATCTACGGCTTTGGTTTTAAAAAATATCGCCATGGCACATGGTGATAAAGGCGCCGACGGTCTTCACCAAGCGCAGTTCCTACATCAGTTGTACGGGGTGAGGACACAAAAACCCAGCACGTCATCGTCATCATCAACCTCTAGGCTAAAAACCTAGCGGCTATGCAGTCTTGAGAAGTAGATTGTCGACACGTTCTTCTCGAATTGGGCCAGGGCCCAGGCCTCGTCCACAAACAGGAAGGTCTTGCTGTTGGCACGAATGGCATCCAAGACGGACTTGTATTGGGTTGACACGACTGACAAGACCTCGGCGCGCAGGTGGAATGGACCTGCTTGGTCACAAAGTCTTGCAGAGTAAGCACGAAAAGTTTTCACCCAAAACATGCGAAGGACGCTTACTACTGGAAGCTCACCTCAACTGCAAAGTTTACCCCGTGCACCATCCGTGGAAACCTACGTTTATAAACGGATTTCGCGAACCCAAGACTTCAAGAGGCCTCCTCGGGTCAACAAGCAAAAGCTCTGTGCAAAGGGTGCTCGAGAAACATTTTCCACACACAAGCACGAAGTGAGTTTCCTCTGACACAGCTTTGCTACCCAACGTCGCAACCCTCTTGTTGGAGTGCCGCACCCATCAAGCAACGCCGAACTCGCGATGGCTGCGGCCTACTATCACTCGATTTCCCGTCACAATGTATACCCGGATGTCGGGCGGAAAGTTTGCAACACAAGCTCTCCGCGATCTCCTCCAAGACTGCCTGCCGCTATCGGATAACCTTCCAAAACACGTTCGTTTGTGATCACATCAGCGGTCTGCGTCACATTGGCCACCGACACCTGCATCCCAAGAGCTAGCAGCAGCGAAGCTACTTTCAATCAATGTGTGAGTGAGATTTGAAAGCACGTGTGCAAAGTAATGGGTTTTCTGTGCCAGGCTAGCCCTTGCCAAATCACACTCACATCCACCTCACCGCTGGCATTCGTCGACATGGACAACAAAAGGAGACTGAAGTCAGAGAGATGCGACCCAAACAGTTGCACACCTCTCCGTGGTGTTGAAGCAGTCTTTCGCGTCTGTGAGTTAAGAGAGTTTTCAAGAGCTGCCCAGCCAGGCTCTCAGTTTGCTCACAGGAGGCCAGCCGTAAGGAAGTTTTGCCTCCAGCATCCAAAGCTTGGAGGGCACACGCGTCGAAAACCCCTCATCTTTGCAGGACTTTACATGTTGAGGGTAAGACTGAGACTCTTTGACTCGGCCATGGGACAGGCAATTTGTCAAAGCCTCTCGTTCAATCGCGCAGGTGGCTTCATTCTGGTCTGACCAGCTTCTTCCAGTTCCGGAACTCGGCCCATTGTGCGTTGAGTCTCGAAGCTCCGTCTTGGTGAGGACGATGCCAGGGGCAAAGTCTCCTCGCACCGGCTTTACAGCTGGACAGGCTCAGGCTGATTGCCCTCGATGGCGTGCCAGTCCGCCAAGTAGGGGCCGTCGCTTTCATGGACTGTCGTCTTTTGTCTCTGATCTCCTTCGATAACATATCTTTTGTCTAACGGTCCCGACTTGTGCTCCTTAAGCCGAACTTCAGAACACGTAAGTTTGCTAAACCTTCCCATGAAAAAGCTCCAAAAAAGGAGTCATGGCTAAACATGCAAGGTCATGGAGCCAGCCTCAATAGAGATGCGGTTGAACTCGTCAAAGCAGCCCCAAGCACCCACCTCAACAGCTCAATCAAAGGAGTGTGTGATGACAGTGTCAATGTCACGGAGAGGGTTGATTCGACACCAGACATCCCTGCCTGGGCAAGACCCATGAAAATCTGCGCCGTGGTTTGGTACGTCATTTGATCTGAGCAGTTGAACCTGTCAAAGAAACTGTTTTGGATTGTTGAACCGGCGCATTCCTTCCACATCTGTCTCTTTTTGGATCCATTCCTTTCTTCTCCGATTTCCGACATCGTTCTGAGCTGGCGACACAACAATGGGCAAACCCAGGGCTCGGGAGAGATCCTGCAAGTCTCAAGATTCTGAAGCAACATGTCAACAAATCGCTACTAGGAGCAGGGACGCTACTAGGGGCAAAGGGCATCGCTACTAGGAACAAGAACGCTACTAGGGGCTCCTGGCCATACTACTAGTAACAATGTTTGCTACTAGTAACAAGAAGCTACAAGCACAACACGTCGTAGCCAACTGCTTGTTGCATGTTTGTCATTGCTTTGTCGGGAATGTCCTTGGTGGTCTCTGTCTTCCCGGTGCCTGCAGGACCTGCCGGAGCTCCTGGACAAGTCCACTCCGTTTTGGTCACTTTCAGATATCAAACGCAGTGGTTTAACTCCACCCGAGACCGAAAGGGAACGAGTGGTCATGAGTGGTCTCTGGTTGTCCTCCAAGGCAGAGGTTCAAAGCCTCGCATTTGGAGACAGATAGGGGTCACATGGCAAGAAATCGATCCATGGCTCTGAAAAGAGGAAACCTTGCACAAACCTTGAAGCAAACTGCTGGGAAAATAGGATTAACGTGATTAGCGGCATAACATTATGGCTACTAGCAACAAAGGGCATCGCTACTAGGAGCAAGGACGCTACTAGTGATGGCTCCTGGCCTTATTAGTTACTAGTAACAAAAAGCTACTAGACAAGGGTAAGCAAAAGCGTTTCGCTAGGATCGGATCCGCACCTGCGTGAGAGTGATGTAGCAGCGATCCGTCAGCGGTGTGATGACCAGCCGGCCCACGTTGCCAATGTATTCCTGAGAGAGAGAGGGAGGGAAATCGCTACTAGGAGCAAAGGGCATCGCTACTAGGAGCAAGGAAGCTACTAGGGGCTCCTGGCCATGCTACTAGTAACAAGAAGCTAGTAGAAACAATAAGCAGGTGCTAAAGATCACGTTCACATCCAAGGGTCGTAGGCATAACATGTTGCCCAATCACAGATTTTGATCAGGCATGTTTTCTGCTGTGGCGGGGTAAAAGACACCAAAGTGCTACCTGGCATGCATAGAAAATGCACATTATGCCTTGAAATTCATCGGCTGTGAATTTGTAAATCTTAGGCCTGGTGGATAGACCGTCCAATAGAAGCGCAGCTGTGACCCCCACCTGAAGCGGAGCTGAAATGCGCTGAAATGTATGCTTTTGAAAACTAGTCTACTTCCTACTAGTTCCTAGTAGCAAACATTATTACTAGTAGTACGGCCAGGAGCCCCCCGTAGCGTCCTTGCTCCTAGTAGCGATGCCAGGAGCCCCTAATAGCGTCCTCGCTCTCCGCGCCCTGCAGGCCCTGCGCCTGAAGTCATTGGCTTCATTGACTTTCTGCAGGACAAAGGACTCAATGACGTCCCGAGAGTGAACATCAATGGTGATGATCGTGATCACCTGTGATGAACGCTGCGGTGCCTTTTTGAGCTTTTTGCTGTCTTCCTTTTCTGAAGCCACCAAGGGGGGTGGGTAAGGTAGTAAGAGGTAGTGGAAGTGGGTGAGTTAGCTACTAGTACACCAATAGGATGCGGGCGAAATGCAATTTTTTGGAAGCGGAATAAATCCAGAATGAACAGTCAGAGCAGAACAGTCAAAGCGCATTGAGAAAGAATTCGAACAAACTGCCAACTAGCTACCGAGCTGGCAGAGCTGGCTTCGCATTTTATTTCCTATCCGATCCCAATTGCAAGCTATCACATGTGGGAATAATCTAATAAGGCTTGGTCAGGAAACAGGATGATTGGCCTGCCGCTGCCTTGGTACGATACGAAATGGAGTCACGCCACTTGCTTGCACTGAATTAAATTAGAATTCTTTGAGGTGGTGAACACCTGTTTGAGATCCGCTGTTTTGCCTTGTGATTTCCTGGGGAGCGGTTGCGAAGCTTCAGTTCTCTCGCTTCTTCACACTGGCCTTGGTGGCTTCTCACACCTTATAATGTAGGAGCATAAACGCTACTAGGAAGAAGTGCATCGCTTCTAGTAACAAGTGCCTTACTACTAGGAACAAGAAGCTACTAGGAAGAAACGACAAGCACTTTATTTGAATCGAAATGGCGGTGTGACATGCTCTTCCTTCCTGTGCTGCCAATGGCGGATTATGGCTGAGCAAGGGGAGCAAGGATTCCGACAGGGTCGATACAAACAATTCCAACTGTGGTGTGTTCCATTGACAGTGAACAGAGTACCTGGGTCCACACCAGAAGTGTCAAAAAGCTAATTAATACAGGAAGCTGCCTTACCCTGATTCGAGATGCATCTGTGTCCAAAAGAGAGTGCGCCTCTACATCGATAAGGTTGCGGCATGCAAGGAATTTTGTGTCACACCTTTGCTGGATGTTCCATTATTTTCCCCCGTCCAGGATCTCTGAAAGATCCCTGCAAATCGCGTGGAGATCTCTGTCGATGGTTGACAAATTGCCGCACCTCCCACAAGTTTCTGCACCTAGTAACAAGTGCATCGCTTCTAGTAACAAGTGCCTTACTAGTAGTAACAAGAACGCTACTAGGGCTCCTGGCATCGCTATTAGGAGCAAGGACGCTGAGCACACATCAAGAGACGGCCACCACAGCACCTGCAAGACCTTTGTTTGTCAAGTGAATTATGCTTGACAAACATCCCCCTCACCTTTAGCCTCCGGCCTCTTTCTACACGTTTCAATGTTTCAAAGTGCGCCAGCTTGTCAATCAATGCTTCCGAGTCATTCTACTTTCTTGCAGTTTCCTCAGATGACTAGTTGAGCTGGCCTTTGTCCGAAGCTCCTTGTTAGATTCTCGCTGCACCCTGCGGATCAACTTGTCAATGCGATCATCGTTCACCTCAGTTGTGCAGAAACACTTGCAGAATGAATCCTGGCATACAAAGCATACAAAGCACAAAAATCTCAAACCACTCAGTAAAGATGCCTTACTAGTAGTAACAGGTGCCACGCTACTAGAAACAAGTGCCTCGCTACTAGTAACAAGTGCCACGCTAGTAGTATCAGTTTCCAAAGTTCATGCTGGGGCACTCGTTTGTAGTCTCGCATGGCCGTCTCGCTTCCAGCCTTTCTTTTGCGAAGACAGAAAGAGAAGGACGCAACGGGGCGCGCCAAAGAAACGCACATTCTCAAAAAGGACAGGTGCAAAAGGGCTACTAGGTTGGAGGCCATCGCTAGTAGTAGCAAGAAGCTACTAGTAAAAGGAAAGGAAAAGAAACTCATAGTAACAAGAAGCTAGTAGAAACAAGTGCATCGCTTCTAGTAACAAGTGCCTTACTAGTAGTAACAAGGTTCGCTAGTAGTTGGACCCTCAAGGAAAGGGTTCTTTACGTCGAAGCTTTAAAAAGAGTAATTATATTTAATTCTTCTTGTTACTAGTAGTAAGGCACTTGTTACTACTAGCGTGGCACTTGTTACTAGTTGGACCCTCAATAAAAGGGTTCTTTGCGTCGAATTCTGTCGCACTTTCTCACCTCCATGTCTTCGAAGGCCCGAGTCGTCTCCTGCACCGCTTGTGCAGGCGGAAGCCGCCATGTGTCAAAGGACTCACCAAACACGGGCTTGCTATGCGAAAAAGAGAATCTATACCTGGGATACAGTGAGAGCGATGGACCTACTATCAATGGCCTCCCACCTATTAGCGATAGCCTCCAACCTAATAGCATGTTTAGTTCATGTTGTGTTACTACAAGCTTCTTGTTACTACTAGTAAGGCACTTGTTACTAGCGTGGCACTTGTTACTACTAGCAACAAAGAGGTGTCGTCATGTGTCGACCATGTCAACGTGTCAAGTTTTCTCCTCGGTCCAAATGACCTGCGTGGCCAACAAACTCAGCTGTGCACAATAGTCGTCCAACCAGGTCTCCCGAGGCCTCACCGCACAGCGCACAGCATGTGGCCCACTGCTCTCGGTTTGCTATCTCTTGCTTCAAAAGCTCATTCTCATCTCTAGTAGCATCTTTGTTACTAGTAGCTTCTTGTTCCTAGTAGCGATGGCAGGAGCCCCTAGTAGCGTCCTTGCTCCTAGTAGCGATGCCAGGAGCCCCTAGT